AGCCATGCTACTTCTGGGACGCGCCTTGAAATTGCCACGTCACGGCTGGTTTGAAACACTCATAGACTATAGTTGGATTCTATATGAAGCGGTGCCAGGCTGCGCAGTGGCGCAGTGGTTAGAGCTGTTGCCTTGTAGCAAGAAGGTCCTGGGTTCACCTCCCGGCCTGGGATCTTTCTGCATGGAGTTTGCATGTTCTCCCTGTGCATGTGTGGGTTCTCTCCGGGTACTCTGGCTTCCTCCCACAGTCCAAAAACATGACTGTTAGGTTGATTGGTCTTTCCAAATTGTCCTTAGGTGTGAGTGTGTGTGTGTGTGTGTGTGTGCATGACTGTTTGTCCTGTGTGTCTCCGTGTTGCCCTGCGATGGACTGGCTCTCTGTCCAGGGTGTACCCTGCCTGATTGCCTGTTGACCGCTGGAGATAGGCACCAGCCCCCATAGGGATCTTTGGTTGATGTCAATTTAGATGACTCAGTTTTAAGGTTAACTCTGTTTTGGTTTGGTTAACTTCAGTTTCGGTTAAACTTTTAACAAAGTTTTAATCAGGCTGTTTTAATTGTTAAGTTGTCTTTGAATCATTAACCTTTTTGAGGATTTTTGATAGGCGTTATTTTAATAATGCTCTCCATCTGTTGGCTCGCATGTTTTTAAAACATTTAATGGCAATTAAACCCATTTCAAATCCACAGTCATGTTTTTATTATGTTACCCCCTCTTTCACATTTTAACAACCCATGTCGGGGTTGTAACAGCTTCTGATAGAAAATAGATGATGACACACTACAATTTGATAAGCCTGGCAGATCTACGTCACATTTATGGACTCATCCATCTTGACCTGCGATGGGAATAATAATACATATTAATTTAAAAAAATATCATCAAACGTATATAGTGCTTGTTTAGGACACACAAAGATGCTTTAATGCACTCTCACATTTGCAAACTGGTGATGGTAAGCTACTTTGTAGCCACAGCCGCCCTGGGGCAGTCTGACAGAGGCGAGACTGCTATTTAGTGCCGTCGGACCCTCTGACCACCACCAACACAGGCAAGTTGGGTGAAGTGTCTTGCCCAAGGACACAACAGCAGAATACCCCCTGGCGGGGGCTGGAATCAAACCCATGACCCTTTGATCATGAGGCAACCCGCTCTACCTCCTGAGCTACTGCTGCCCCAAGGGAAAGGCTGTTGTTGGTTTAACGTCCAGAAAACAGCAGAGAACGTCTCGGCAAGTAGTAGCTAAATTAGCATTAGCAACTCTACCACACATCATCAATGTTGCAAAGCAGATTCAGTGGTAGTTGAGTTCCTGTTAGCCAATCAGAGAAGAGATGTCCAAATGTCAGGAAATACGACTCCAAATCCCGCTGTCTAAAGCTCAGCTGTGCTCTGACTCAGTTCTAGATCCTGAAACTGGTGGACCAGACCTTTTATTTCCCCAGAGTACAACTTACAAGGTACTCATTCCTACTAGAAACCACTGCAAATGCATTGATTACATGAGTGAACCACACCTTTAATGTCCACCGACATTTCTATTTTATTTACCTTTTGATTTTGTAGGAACTATTTTTATGTTCTGATATGCAAACCCTTAAAATTTAATTAAAGGTGTACTTTTTAAACCACAATTTCCTTATTTAATTTGAGATTTCACTTCAACAGCATAGCAGTGATGTCATGAAGCGACTGCCTACACACTTTCTCTTTCCCTACATAACCAATCTTTTTGCTGTTTTGCTTCCCTGAAGGCTGTCTTCACAAACAACAAGCTCAGCAACGGACAGCTGAAAACATTTCTAGCCAGTTCACATCTGGAGATAAGATGATTTCCTCTGCATCGTCAAATCAGAACGTCTTCTGCCAGAAATGGTCAAGTCTGATCTAGGCTTCAGTGGCAGAAAGGATTAGAAACTAGAGTTTCACAAGGACCCACAAATTAATGCAATCCATTTTGCGGAGAGGAAATTCAAGTGTCTCTGCACCTAACTAAGAGATCAAACATGGACAGAAAAACATACAATTAACAACAGTTCTCAGAAGCCTCCGTGGTCATTTAAGCCAGAAGTGGACAGAGACACAGAGCTGAAGGAAATCTGGAAAGAAAATGAGCAGACATGAAGAGGAACACAGGAAGACCTGATGACGTTAGTAGAGATGTAAAAATAGAAAGAGCAATCAGTGTGATCAGAAATCGGTGAGTGAAAGAGAAGCGTGAATCAGACACCCGAGGAGTTTTCCTGCAGATTGCACAGGGGGAAGGGAAGACAGTCAGTTTTTATACAGAAACAGAACAAACAGAAGACACATCTCAAAACACAATAACGTAAAAACAACACAAAGACTTTTATTTTCTAAAATGAACCACGAGGCCTGTCTGTGTCTAAATCTGGTGTTCCATCTAGGTGTCGATGCTAAGCATATGAATTAGGGTCAAATATAAAGAAGAAAAACACCTATGGGGACCAAACACTCAAAAAGATGATCTGCCAATTAAAGCTAATTGCAGGTTGACTAGCGATGGCATGTAGCGAAAATAAAAACGTCAAAGAGCAGCGGCAGCGCTCTCTGGGATGACTCTGTGACATTACACAGAAAAGACAACTTTGTTCTTTTTCTTTTTCTTCATCTTTTCAAAATTGCAAGCAAAGAGCAGCTCTGATAAAGAAACATCTTAGCTTTTATGTTGCCTTATTCAAGCAATTACTGGACTCCATTCAGCCAGTGCCAAGCGAAGGCAAAAATTTACATACTTGGCTGGAATACGGAGATAATGTTGCTAATGAGAGCAGTTCATGACAAGAAACAACTCATAATGCCAAAAAAAATGAAAATGGTGAAAATGCATGCAGCATGTTGCAAAAGGTCAGTAGTGTGATTACACAACGACTTCATTAAAGTGATAAGTTAAAAATCTAAATGTAGGCCGCGTGTAACCAGACTGCAGGTCACATTAGTCTAGGACTAGGACAATTTGAGTTGGAGTAGGTTTTGGTCAAAACGAGGACACTGTCTTTGCTCCTCTCGATTATCAGCTTAATGAGGATTTAATACTCTCTCAAAACATCCTGTCAAGTCTTGTGTCCCTGTAAATCCAGGAGATCTTAAGCCCCTGAACCATCAAAATGTCTTTTTTTAATCACAGATCTTGGTGTTTGGCTTGCGATCTTTCCCGTCTGAAGGCTAGAAAACTGTAACGAGGGCTTTGCCTTCCCATCTGAAAGCTGTAGGGAGAGTTTGCTCTGGTGTGGAAAAGTTAATCTTCCCCTGTGATTGCTTCTTTCTGCATTAGTCTGGCTACAAAGTGATGGGCGGCATATTGATTATATTTCCAAGGGGGAGACAGAGGATTGGCAAGAGGAAAGCAACAAATGGGGGACTTGCTCATAAAGGGAACGCTATGGTGATTTACAGTAGGGCTCGAGTGGGGAAGGGTCGGACCGGGCTTGGCTGGTCTTAAACAGACTAAAATAACTTACCGGGGCAGTTGCGATAGGATACATTCTGTGCTCTTGGTCCTATTCTGCTTGGGCATGGACCTTGAGAAGCAAAAAAGATGGTAGCTACATATGTTTAAAACGGTTGAGAGTGAAGTGATGACCTGATTTGTGTTTGAGGTTAACAAAAATTAGTGAAGCATAAATGTCTTTGGGTGGACGTTTGGCAGGCTCGACTATTTCCTTTGTGACAAGACAAGAAGCAGAAGACAGTCATAACAGGGAGCGGACACGAGTGCACCTTGAGGCTAATCCTTCTATTAAGGTTGGGGGTAGCACAGCTAGACGAGGGATCGATACTTCGCTTAACTTAGATACAGCAACAGAAGAAAAAAAAGAAAGGTAAAAGAAAAGGCAAGAAAACAAGCAGCTGAAGTGAAATGCATCAGCTACAGGATCCGTCTTTGTTCTGTCTCAGATGACCATTGTTGCGTTTTTACTTACAAGTCCTGAAGACGTCAGATAGGTTAACCTTTAGGTAATAATGAGTTTAACCATCTAATGAGATTCAGTCAGATTCAAGCTGAGGGTAGAAACCTGAACAGGTAAGTATATATATATATATATATATATATATATATATATATATATATATTTTTTTTTACGATGTAAAACAGATAAACAGGAGAGAAATGGCTCAGCTTGTTCCGTCTTCCATCTAAAGCGTGCAGAGCACTCGCTTGACTCAGAAAAGTAAAGTTCTCCTCCCCATCTCTCTGTAGCAGGAACAGCTTTAGTTCCACCTTAGAGGGATTTTGGCAATTCATTTAAATCTTTGTCATTAATCAGCATGTAAAGGTTAAACGGGGAAAAATTCTGCACAAATTGCAAATGAGCGAGGCAGCTTAAAGGACAAAGGGGAATTTTTAAACAAGGGGCAATCTAAGGATTGTTTGGAAGCTGAATGGCGATGAATATTTTAGCATCAGAAGAACAGAGAAAATGCTAACACTATCTCTTTAGATGAGTTATCGCCTTGTTGACTTATGAGAGGGGCTTTCTGTCGGCTTACATAATAAAACATCTGCTAACATGTTCCAACACCTGTTGGATGGCTGTATATTAAGCCATCAGGTTGAGCTGTTCCCTCGCCTGATGGATTACTCGGCACAAGACTGGAGAAATGAAACTCCCGCTTGCTATCGCGGCGCGTCAGCGTGACTTCCTCTGCCCTCCCTCTATCCTGCTACCTCATATAACCAGGCTCGTAGATCCGCTGGAAACATGGTGAGCACATCAATAATAAGGGGAGTGCAGAGGAGGACCAAAGGGTTTTACAGGTCATATTTCACGGAAAGTTCACTGCGTGACACAGATTAAAGAGAGATAGAGGAAAAGGGTGCTGGAAGGTACTGCAGACAAAGAGAGGCAGGGAAGATATGGGACAGTATATGGTATAACTCAGAGAGGAGATGGAGGGCAGAGGGGGAGAATATGAGCATGGGAGGGTGGGGGAGGGAGGGAGGGTTTCCAGTTCATGACAGAAGGGTCATACTTACTGTAGGGCACACACTCATACTGGACCTCCAGGTACTTGTAGGTCCCTGGGCAGGGGTCAGGGAAGACATCTGAACCTGTGATCACAATGCACTGGGTCCGGTTGTTGCATCTGGCAAGATAAAAAAAAGCAAACAAACAGAAGAAACAGGAGTTGTTAAAAAATCTAGCTAACATCTCCAAGTAAAATAAAATAAACAAATGGGTATGTTACATGAAAAACTTTAAAGGAACACGTTTCAACATCTGTTTTTGATTCATATTTGGGGGATGTGACTTCCTGAATGACCTTTGTTTAAAGAAATACTTTTTAAAGACTAATAAGGAAACAGCCTATTAAATGTAACCTATTACATCACCCCAACCCTAACAAATCAATAAAACCATGAGAAATACCTTTTGTTTTTTATCATTTTTATTTGGAGTTCTACGATTATTCACTAGTACAGGAGAGGATTGGGGCCACACAGAATTCTGACTTTCTCTCAGAATTAAATTATGAGAAAAAGACAGAATTCTCATTCTTGTATTTGTTTTCTTTCTTTTCAGTGGCTCCAATCCTCTTCCATATTCAAACGTAAACATCACCAGATAACCAGTAAACACAATTTCTCTGAACTGAGGCCATTTAGAAAGCTTCCACAACAAGGGAGAAGCTAATTAATTAAAACTTTAACAAAGACATTCACTTTTAAAGTATGATTGGAAAATCAAAAGTCGTGAATTCCAGTTTTTCACGCAGCAAAACGATGTTGAGACTTTGCACACAACAGTTTACTTCCTTGTTGGATCTCCACTATGTGGTTTACAGGCATTTTGCTCTATTGTGTTTATTTTCTCAGTCTGATTTATTTAAATAAGGTAATATGTTGGTGTTGTTTGGATCAAATAAGCATGTGCTCTCCAACTTCAGTTAAATCCAAACCTTTTATTTTCTCAGTGCTTTTTGCCGTTATGTAATAAATACCTTAAACATATTAAATCAAAGAAATAATAGCAGTAATAATTCATAAACTAATATGTAAATCAGAGCTCTGAAAGCCAATTTACTGCATCAATTTTGGACAAAATATGTTTTTTATATATCACAGTAATTCTCCAAAATCTAAAAAAAGTGTAACTTCTGCAAAAAAAAAAAAAAACTTTATTGAAATGGTAAAGAAAAACACTTGTTTCCATTTCACCAGCATTGTTCAAAGATGTCAAAAGTTACAAGAAACACCTGGAGAGCAGACATGAAAACCCGTCTCATCAGGCTCTGAGGTCCAGGTAAGTTGTTGCAGGTGACCACCTCTCTGGCTGCATGTGGGTCATGATAATGCCACCAATACCTCCCAAAACTGGACTTTGTTACCTAAGGGACTTGAAACTATATGGGCAATGTGAGAAGTCAGATCAATAACTCTGTTCTGCTGATTTAGCACGGACCGGAGAAAATATTTGTTTCTTCTCATCACAGACCAGTTGGCTCGTTTACAGAACATCATTGGAAAATCTATTTCGGCTTGCGCTCGTGCTTTGGGTTTTGCCTTTTTTAAGCCTCAGATGTAATCACCGCTCTGAGTCTAAATGTTATTAATATAGTATTTGGTGTTTCTGTGGAGGAGCGACTCTTTACTCACACAGGGGGTCAGAAAATGGTGCTACTGGTTGAAAAAACATGTTTTGGCTGCTTGTCAGGAGTGCATGCAGGTTTTTTAACACAAAGCTTTATTTAGAAACCTAAACAAAAACATCCGTGTTTGTTGCATAAAATAATAATGGTTAAGCAGAGAGGCATTATTTTTATTTATTTTCCAACACTTAGGAAATTGATCTGACTGCTGCACACATAAGCTAATTAGCGTTTGCATTTTCTTTAAATACATTAGAATAAAAAATTCTCTTAATTGTATTAAACAAACAAGCAAGATAAAACAGTACACTATATTACTGCACAGACACATTTATGTTCACATCTGTGAGCGCATCTGTGAACCCAGCAGAGCTCAAAGGAGCCTTTCACTATATTAATGACCTCCACGTGTAATAACAGATGCAAAAAAAGAAAAAAGAAAAGAGAGAGATCTGCATTTTGCTGTTGTTCTTAGGGAAACGACTTAATATTTAGAAATTAAAACATGCACCTCATGCTGAGCCCATAATATGCTGCTTGTATTTCAGGGCTAATATTTTATGAATCAGCAGCACCCTCCACATATTAAACGGCCACTTTGATGACTCTGTCTGCGTTTGTTAATGCGTAAGCGTATCACGCAGAAGCAATATAAATTACAACACTTTATCTACCAGGAGTCCACCGAGAGCAGCAAACAAAAGCCTAGTTTACTTCAGAATAATACAGAAATATAAAATTAGTGACTCTAATGAGACATGGACCTGCCACCATTACTCAAGCAAATGCATTGAACAACAGAGCAAAGCACTAAAAAGCTCATATTTCTTTTGAAACAATGTTGACATGAGTGTTGATAGCTCTTCCTGATGTATTGCCCTAATTTTCGAGCAGTGGGACAGGGGCACCCTGATCTATGTGTGACTCTGATTACCGTCTCATCTGTGAAACCTCAGGCTTCTCCTGAGACCAATTGAAAAAGCCCTAATGACTCCTTCTATGCATAGTCCTATAGCACTCGTTTTGAGGGAATAATTGAAATTCCACCAATAAAAACTGGAGGATCTGGCTTGCCAGGGCACAGGTCTCACAGTGCACACTAATTAAATACATTTAAAACATGATATCTCTGACTATCTTTTGATAGTCTGAGGCTATAAGGTAATTAATCATCTACATAATGAATATTTTGTCAAAGGAAGATTTTTTTCCTCACATTTCTTGATGAAACATTTTAATACAACTGATGAAAAAGTCTGATCATCAGCAGAAATGATGTGTTTACTTGATTTTCATCAAAATAGACTTGCATCACAAATATACACCATTCCTGTGGAGATACATGTCAAATAATTAAATAACAAGTTGACTACAATTAAAAAAGTGCAATGAAATATAAAAAAGTGTGCAATGCATTTCATAGCTGAAGTAAAACTGAAGTGCACGAAGTGGGTTCCGTATCCTCCTCCTTCCTGCCACTTCCAGCCAGTTAATCAGTCTGAAGTATTCCTAATGTAATCCCATCACATCTCTGACCTTTAGGGAGAGGCAGACATCGGTACAATTAGAGTGTCATAGAAAACGCTGCTTGGATTTGATGCAAATCTCTTTTAAAAATGATCACTCCCAGCTGACAGTGGGAAGGGGGTGGAACAGTATGCCAACGAGGTAGAACTGATGGTACTCCTGATACCGCTCATCCCCGTGCAGTTTAACCTTTCTTCCTCTGCCGTCGTAAACCATGTCAGAGGGAAAACCGGACACAAGGAGGATGTGCGAGTTGAATAATACATTTTGTCAAATGACAAAATTGTTACAAACTGTTTCTTGTATCAGATATGGGAATTGTGTAAAGCCTGCTTAAGTCCTAGAAGACTACGCTCCATTTATTTTTTCACTAACACATCCCTCAAAGCAGATTTTACGTATCTCATTCAGCTTTTTTTTTCAGATGTTAAATGTAAGATAAGGGAGTTGCTAAACTCTACACACTGGGTATTTTATTTTGAAACATTATCAAAAAGAATATTTTTAATGACGCTAGCATGTGAGCACAAAAATGGACAAATGCAGACTACAGCGTATTATTAAAACAGCAGGAAAAATCATTGGTGCCCAACTGCCCTCTGTCCAGGAACTGTACATCAGCAGGACCAGGAAAAAGGCAGTGAATATTGTCCAAGATGCCACACATCCTGCATCTACTCTCTTCCATCTCCTCCCATCTGGCAGACGCTATAGATCACTGTACACAAAAACTACCAGACACAAGAACAGTTTCTTTCCTTCAGCCATTTCTCTCCTGAATCTGTAGATTCTTTTACCATCCTTTTACTATAGTTTTTAATACTAATTCAGTATGCTTATGGATGTGTGTGTGTGTGTGTGTGTGTGTGTGTGTGTGTGTGTGTGTGTGTGTGTGTGCGTGCGTGCGTGCGTGTGTGTGTGTGGGTATGTATATATGTATATAGGTGTGTGCGTAAATGAACATGTGTGTGGGTATACATGTTCTTATGTGTTTTTAGGTATTTTTATTCTCATTTATTATGGTTGTTGTATGTTTTAGAGAGCGAACATCTACCGAAGACAAATTCCTTGCAAATGTAATTTTACTTGGCCAATAAATCTGAAATCTGAATCTGAAATCTGAATCTGAAATCTGAAGAAATGCATGTCTGGCAAACAGTTTTGACATTGCTTAGATTGAAATTGCAGGTGTTTGTAATTGTAAGACAACCCATTTGGTCCAACTGGTTTCACATTATTTAACAGATATTTAATTTCAGGTAGTCACAAATCCTTTACCTGCTTTCTGGATTTGACTGCATTCTAATTGGTTGGAATCTTTAAAGGTGTGGGACAATAATTTACATTTGCAGTGGTCACTAGTAGGAACGAATGCCTTCTAAGGTCGCACTCAGGGGGAAAAATAGCTCAGATGCGCCTGTTTCAGAATGCCACATCAGAGGAGCACTTCGGCAGGATTTAGTCTTATTTGCTGATGTTTGGCCATCTCACCTCGGATTGGAAAACAACAACATGACTCTACCATTAACTCTGCTTTACAATGCTGATGTTTTATCTACACACACAACACAAACCGGGAGGAGTTCCGCTGTGTGGTCGAGTAGCTAATGCTAATGATTAGTTTCAACTAGCCAAGACGTTCTCTGCTGTTTTCTGAACAGTAAACCAACAACAGCCGTCCCCATCGTGAGTCAATGTTTATGTTTATTCATTTAGGAGACGCTTTTATCCAAAGCGACTTACAATTTCAAGAAGGGTGAGTCCATGAATGTTAAGTGACAGTGATATATAGATCTGTCAGGATTTTAAAATCCTAGAGTTTCATCACCTATTTTCTATCAGCTAATGCAGAAGATAGTTTTGTGCAGGAGGTAGCTGTAGGAGACTATTTTCATGTTCAGCCTGCAAAATTCAGCGTGACCGATCATAATCAGAAATGATCATTAAAATAGTTTTTCAGTGTTCCGCAC